CGTACTCTCTCTCTCTCCGTCTCTCTCTCTCTCTCTCTCTCACACACACACACACAACACAAGGAGCACAGAGATGAGAGAGACTGCAGCTGAAGTCTTGAAACCATTGCTTTCAGACACCAACACATTGAAGTATGCAAGAAAAAGCTGGACAATTTTATGCTCTATAGAAGTTGAACGAGTGTTGTTCCAGTGAAATGCTTATATTTTGTTCACTCATAAGACTTAGAAAAAACATTGGGTGAAAGAAATTTGATCTCTCTCTTCCACTAAAGGCAGAGAGAGAGAGAGAGATTGTGGCTTGATAAGATCCTAAAGTTTTATCGTCTCTCTCTGATACTAATTGATAAGACTCTAAAGTCTTATCAGAACGATCGCTCTGATACTAATTGATAAGACCCTAAAGTCTTATCGTCGCTCTGATACTAAATGATAAAATCCTAAAGTCTTATTGTCGCTCTGATACCAATTGATAAGACCATAAAATCTTATCGTATGCTCTGATATCAAATGTTAAGTCCCTAAAGTTTTATGATAAAAAAGAAAAAGAGAAAAGGATAATCATTTCGAGGGGATCGACCTCATAGGGTTTGTCAAATGACAGAATAATATTTTTCATAGATAACTGAAAAGAAACAGTTACATCCCTATTTATAGAGTTCCACCTAGAGTCCATCAAGACTTGAATTCTAATAATAAATAAATATTAAATAAACTTCTACTTAATTTTAACTGAACCAAACCGACTCAATAAACAACTGGACTAAACAGACTCAATAAACATTATTCAAAAGCTTAGAACAAAATCATAACATGGCTTAATCTTGGGTTAGAGCTATCCTGAGACATGATGGAGCAGTTGGGAGAATTTTATGCTCTCAAGTTTCAGTGTTACTTCTTGTGCTCTATTTTCATATACCTCTTTACTTAAAAGTGAAAAATGATTCTTTTTTTTCTTTAGTGTCCAACTATGACAAGACAAATGCCAATGATGATCAAGATTTAAACAGAAGTTTGCAACATGATTTGCTTGACGTGAAGGAAACTAAGGAGCACATTTATATTAGCACCAAATATTTCTCTTTCTAGGAGTTTATTTTTTGTGAAGATGAATCCAACAACAGTTCTCGAGGAACAGCCATTGACTTTTTCTTTTCTTTTGGAAATAAAAATTTGCTCCGATACTACTTTTACATTTATATCGATCAAAGAAGATTGGTCAGATGTGAATATTCGGAAATTAAAACGATATATAGGATTTAACAAATAGGTTATTTCCTATTTCTTTCCAAATTTGACTATTACTTCCACCCCGTATATATCACAAATAGACTATCTAAATCGGAGTATCCAAAAAAATCCGATCCGCTTCTATCTACGGATTGCCTATTGATGTGGAAAATTATGGATGTCCTCGATGCGTATCCGACCCGATAGCTTAATGGATTGACGTTTGGGAATCGATGTCCGAGAAATTTGGGTCGGGCTTGAGTTCGGGTTTTAAGACACAAATCGACCGCACTTTTAACCGAAACCGGGTTCAAATTTCAAACCCGCGCCACCGGCTTGATAAGATCTCTTTTTCTCAGGATGTGAACCGCTTCCTTCCTTGACATCTTTTCACGGAGGTCGGAGCACGAGACGGACTCTCTCTCTCTCTCTCTCTCTCGCTCTCCATGGAGCTCGCCGAAACCCTAACCCAAAACTGAGACCCACTCGGTTTCATCTAACCCCTCTATCTTTCTCCTTCCCCCCATTTGCTACCGGAGAGGGGCGCAGCGAGCGGGGGAATGGAGAACCACAAGAAGACCCCCGTCCGGGTCCGATTCCGCGTGACCGCCAAGAAGCGGGGATGT